TCGCTCAGCCAGTGAGCGGGAACCAGTCTGTATGTGGGATCCAAACCCTCGGCGGGAGCACAGCCGCGCTTCCCAAGCGGCGCACTAGCGCAGTGCGCCACCAGGCCGGCCCTAAGCCTATTTTTATAAAGGCAAAATTACATGCACATGTATATGTGCACATTAAAATGTCTAAAAATCACACACACCAGAATTTGCAGTGGTTATTGCTGGGAAATGGGATTGGAGAGAAGAGAAAAAAACATTTTAAATTTTATATACTTCTATATGGTGTGTGTGTGTGTGTGTACATATATATATTTTTTTAAGATGACTGGTAAGGGGATCTTAACTCTTGGCTTGGTGTTGTCAGCACCACGCTCTCCCATGTGAGCTAACCGGCCATCCCTATATAGGGATCCGAACCTGTGGCCTTGGTGTTATCAGCACCGCACTCTCCCAAGTGAGCCACAGGCCAGCCCTCAGTGTATTTTTTTTTAAAAAAAACTGTGTTCAATCTATTTGAAGAGGGAACACAGCTGTTTATTTCTGAATTTCCACAATTTTAAAAAACTGTGTTCAATCTATTTGAAGAGGGAACACAGCTGTTTATTTCTGAATTTCCACAATCATTCTCACTTATATACTCAAATGAAAATAAACTAAATTGTGTTTTGCTATTAGCTGCTGCAGTCTCTGCAACACAGAACTGCTATCAGAAAGTTCAGTTCAAGTTAATAAACCATTTTTCCAATCTAAAAAGTGATGTTTGATACAGTTTTTTCTAAAGAAAAGCTGGGAAGAAGGAGGGAAAAGACTAATGATAGTTAAAATACAGACTCCTAGACCCTACTCAAGATCTATAGTAAGACCCTCCAGTGGTGGGGCCACGGAGACCAGATTCTTACAAGCTCTCCAAGTGAATCTCTAGCAAAGGCATGCCTCAGAACCACTAAAATGGAACACTTCTTACAAAAAATGCAGAATTACCAATATCCTTGTCACTTTTTAACCAGCACAAGCAGCTCAGACTTTAAGTTTCTTTTATCGAACATTACCATAAAAGCTATTATGCAAATACCTTACAGTTACTCTGCACCCTCATCTACTTGGACCTCTATAAAAGGAATTGTTCATCCAGAACACAGAGTAAGTTTGTAAAACACAAACACACACCCCTTGGCATCCTCTTCATTTGTGAAGCCTATCTGAGCATAAATTCCCTGATTACAATGTCATCCGGGGAGTCCTTAAGAAACCTGCTACTGAGTGCTCCAGAAATTGTCATTTCTAGATTTGTTGAGCCACCCAAGAACAAAGTCCCAAAACAAACCATACTCCTAGTTCCTACTCTTCCTTACCAAATGGTATCACCTGCCCAAGGGAAATTGGAAATAACTAATATCCTGGGAGTGGACTAAAAAAAGGTGTCGCTTAGCCATCATTCTGTGGCCACTTAGAACAGGTACACCCTGCCCTCCCCTTCCAAGCAAGCTCTAGTGTGACCTAATCAACTGTAATACCAATTTCTATTTCTAAAACACTTCTGTGCACACATAAGCAGACTGGCCTCCAAAACGTGGCTTATAAAAACTGTTCTTTCAGCTTTCTACTCCTCTTTACTCTCTCCATGTGAGATAACCTGCAGCCTTTATATAACATTTGGAACCACCCCTTCAAAATAAATCTCCACCTAAAGACTTCCTCAACCTCCTAACTTCATCCTTCAGAGCTTGCTATGTTCCAGCCTTTGCCCAGCACTTCCCTTTCACAGCCTGCACTGAGCCTGCATCACCATATCCCCAACACCATGCCCCAGTGGTCCCACCTTATCTCCTCTAGGTCACCCCTCTCTGTCCATCAAGACTTCTCAGGCATCCTCTTCTCCAAGAGCTTTTCCTGACCATCGCACCCCCAAGACAGATTAGAAGTGTATCCCCAGCCCACTGTTAAGGTGCCTAAAAACCATAACGGTATTGAAAATAGTAGTCAGTATCAAGCTTGAGCTGTTCATGCTTTATTTTTACACATGTTAAAATGACAGTATAAGGGCTGGCCAGTTAAGTCAGCTAGTTAGTGCGCAGCCTTATAACACCAAGTTATACAACATAAGTTTGGATCCTGATACTGGTGAGCTGCCAAAAAATAAAGTAAAATAACAGTAAAAATCTTTGGTTGACCCTACCTTCCCCTCCAGTTATTATACCAATTCTCTGATCCCCTTCATAGCAAAATGCATTAAAAGAATTGAACATCCTTGCTGTCTCAGATTCATCTCCTCCCACAACCCCATTCCAATCCAGCTTCCTCCCCACCACACCTGTCCAAGTTACCAACACTGCTAATGCGACGGTTGTTCTCAATTCTAATCTTACTCAGTCTATTAGCAGAATTTGATACTGGTGGTTACTCCCTCCTTTTTGAAATACTCTTTAAACTTGGCGTATAATCCTCCAGCTAATCGATCACGGTTTTTCTAATTTTGAGACTCAAATGGTGACTCCTGCCTCTGGAGGGGTACTGATTTAACAGTCAGCAACGGCAAGTCGTCATGACAACATCATGTCAAGGCATATATCAGGCTGCCACTTTCAAAGGCTACTCCGTTAATACATGCTGAGGGGAAATGACTTTTTTTTTTTCCTTTTTGTCTTTTTTCGTGTCCGGCAACGGATCGCAACCCTCAGTGTCGCGGCCATACTGGACCGGGACCGGCAACGGGATCGCAACCCTCGGTGTTGCTCCCACACCTCGCTCAGCCAGTGAGCGGGAACCGGTCTGTATGTGGGATCCGAACCCTCGGCGGGAGCGCCACCGCGCTCCCAAGCAGCGCACTGTAGCAGTGCGCCACCGGGCCGGCCCGGAAATGACTTTTTGAAGAGAGGGAACTGAGAGGAGATCATCAGTAATCCCAACAGAGCATACTGCTATATTTTAAAAAATCAGATCTGAACAGGGAAGATAAAAATGACTTCCTCCCACAAGAGTATAAAAACAGAGACGGAAATTTTTGCCACTGAGAAATACAACTCCTTGGAGCCGTAGTCTCTCAGGAGATTTTAATTGCCAGCTCTCATCAACACAATTCTCTTTCAATAAACAGAGGACTTGTATTTTCAAGGGAATAGTCAAGTATCCAGTGGGGGAAAAGCTGGAGCACGCTTACTGATTTTACTTTGTGGTAGTTTACATTAAAAGGCTTAAAATAGTAGAAGTCACTGCTGTCCTGTCTATAGAAACTTTGAAATGTAACTGAATAAAAATTTGTGATAAGCCACTTTTTATATTATCAACAAATACTAATTCTACAATAATTGTGCTGGTCACTGGGTTAAAAACCAAATGTGACACAACACTCAATTTTTTAAAAAGTTCCTCATTTATATCCACTCAAAATAACCAAAGATTTAAACACTATTAATAATTTTACTTCATAACAACCAAAAACCCATCACACGTGAGCAGTAAATGAGGAGCAAATCTCATCCATCAAGCAGCTGGAGACAGGGTTACCAGGAGGTTAAAGTCCTGGGAAGAGGAGGCTCCCCAGGGATGGGTCCAAGCCCAAAGGAGACATCCGTGGACAAAACCACATGAAGAATCACTGCTTCTTATCAGATAAATAACATGGCTGGGACCTGGACCAGTGCTGGAGGAATGGGGCTGGAGGGAACATTCTAAGACCAACTTAGAACGTAAGCACTGGAGACTTTACAAGATGTGAGTTGCAAGGAATGCTGAGGCCCATTCTATTCCAAGACACAGTGAGAGAAAACAGTACAGACAAATCCCCGACCTAAGACTGACTCCTATCCCACCTTCAACCAACCTCTCATATTCTATAAAATGCATCATCACATTATGTAACAAGTTAATGAGCTTTTGGGAGTTGTAACCTGTATAATGCATAGCCTCCGCATATTTTATGCCCATGCAAGTTTTAAGAAAAGTATATGCAACTAGAAACAGTACCCAACTTATGTATTAACCATGGCATACAGCAATAGCCTGTATCCTGTCAAACTTTCAAATGAGAATATATGTGTAAATGTAAGACTAGAAAAAGATTGCTGAATATCCACGTTGATCAACAAACAGTACTTACTACGTGCAAAGCTTTGAGTAAAGGCA